CCTTTATTAACCCGTTTTAACGAATGTTGTTAGTTCTTAATATTTTCTTTCATGTCATCTGGCTCATTTCGGTTTTGTTCTTTGTGGATTTATTCCAATGTATTTTTGCGTAAATTGGTGCTAAAGGAATAAATTTGTTTTAATTACCATTTTTGACTGTCGTTTATCCACCAGGGGGCTCTAACACGTTTATTATCTTTCTATCGTAAAATATTCAGCTTTGTGTCTTGGTCACAACTGAAAACAGATATTCTGACGGATGTGGATCAAATGAAGAAGCATCGCTCGACGTGTTCTTATTAGACGGACTGAAACAAAAAGATCTAACCTGTTGGACTGAAGCAGTAAATGTGGGGAGCTTGTTTTGGTGTTTGACAGAAGGCACATTTACTGTACTTGTTACTATAGAAACCATTAAATCTCTGGAAGCTGGAAAAGAAAAGGCAGAAACTCACTCAAGTTTCTGCCTGTGTTCCTTAACGTGCACGTTAATATGGAGCAGCCGTCCTCTACAGCGAACGGAGCTTCTCTTATTATACGCTTGTATTCTGCACTGACGACTCAAGGCTTCCTTTCGTCTTTACTCTAAACGCGCCTGTGATCCTGTGGTTGGTTAATGCTCGATCCCTCGTGCAGATCGAAATAAAAACCGCACTGATGAGGTGACGCATCATAAAGGTGGAGGAGTGGCGCCTGGAGAGCGACCGTTACTCAACTGGAAAGATTCTAAACACCTGATCGGAGGAATTTCAAAACTTTACAGGAGGATTTTGTGTAATTTCTTTGTTCGTGTGAACTTTTTTTTGTTGAACAAATGTGAATGACTTTGAGATGAGGCCTGATCCGACTCTGACGTTTCAGTCACTGAGCAGATCAGTAAATTATTTACAGGCAGCTGACGGTGAGGTCTCACTACATGGTTGGAAATCTCAACTATTAAGGTTTTGTCCTGTAACGAGTTTTTACGAGCGGCTGAGCGACTGAAACGTCGACGAGAGCTTCGGGGAAACGACCTCGCAAACTAATTTAAAAACATCAACAATTGTGGGTTATGTGAAATTCCAATGTAAGTCAGGGAACGATGAGCAGAGAAAACTGAACAACTGGAATGTTTCTGTGAAAACGAGTCCACAACATCGCCGCTGTCGTTATCACATCATCCCTCTGTGTCCTTTCAGCATCACATCACGTAATCCTGACTTAACACCGAGTACCTGAGTCCACATGACAACACAACACCTGCAGGGGTTTTCACCCCCGACTGCTTGTCTGTCAGCAGGTTTGAGCAACAAATACTGATCGGATTCCACAAAACTTGGTGGAAGGATGGGACAAGAGAGAATCTATTAAAGTTTGGTGCTGATCCGAACCAAGAGGCAGATCTAGAATTTAAATCACATTCTCTAACACTTTGGGGCATCCGGCATATTTAGGGAAGCTCAGTGTGAACCCTTTCAATTTGATTTTCATTGTTCTGGTATAAATATGGAACATAAACATGTGACAGGAAATCGAACAGTTCGCCTTTAAATGTCTTTTCACTCTTTAGAAAGAAACTATATGAGAATACATACATAAGCTTTGACTAAATAAATCTGCCTCCAGGAAACCAGAGTTAATGAGACAATGAACTTGTCAAAAAATTCAGCCATTGTTAGTACCACACTCAGCACAACACGTTATGAGAGTACTTAAACATTAAACTTGTTATTTCAATATAGATCCGTCACTGACTCGAGAGCTGAGAGGAGATATGGAGTCAACGTGTCAGAAAACCATCAAGATAACAGAGCGAGCCACGGTGACACGTACGACACGAAGGCCTGCGATACTGCAACTGAACATTCACATTCGTTAGCATGAGCACACACACCACGGAGTTAATCACTACGACCAAAACTCGTGACGCTACATCTTCGTACGCCACAAATTTGCCAAGAAGCTCGTAAAGCACCAAACTGAGCGGCTGCCAGCAGAGAGACGATCCACAGAGGTGACATCAGTGTAGCTTAATGAGAGGAGGTGCTCAGACCGAGGGGGAAACGCGGCTACAGCACGAGTCGACCTCAGCGAGGTACAGCAGGGTTCAAAGCTTTGCTACGGAGAGCACACGTTCAAAGGCTTTGATTCTCTGCGTATGCTGCATTCAGGTCATATCAAGAGCCTAGTGAAGGATACTGTTGCCGTCCTCGGCTTTCTCCAAGCTGGGCCAAGAGACGACAATCTCAAAATGGCAAATATAAGTAGAAAAGAGAAAAATAAATTGTCCACGTTAATCGAAATACTATAATTCCACCCCAGACTTCCTCTCAGAGAAGCTTTACCTGCTGAAGTTTGTTATGTGGGACTTTTTATGGGTATTTCAATGATTAAAGAGATGCAGAAGATGTCGCTCGTTCATCTTCCGCTATGACGTGAACGCAGCATCGCTCCTCGCAAGGAAAGCCTTTTGGCAAGTTCTTGTGGCCCTGCAGAAAAAGTGCTTGTTAAATGCTATCCATGGTAATGGCACAGAGTGAAGACAGAGACCACACGGAGAGGACGAGCGTCACCGGAGCGACTATGTGGCGATGTGTGTCGCCGAGGGGATGGTGACAAACTCGCGCAGGATGTTCTTGGCCGTTTCCAGGTTGTTCTGGGCGATCATCAGGGCTTTCTGGATGTCCTGGATGGAGTAGCCCTGCGACATCAGGCATTCGATCTCCCCGTTCAGCGCCAGGCTTCCAGGGCCCGCAGCAGCAGCAGCGGGAGGAGGAGGAGGAGGAGGAAGAGGAGCAGCAGCAGGAGCAGCAGGAGCAGGAGCAGGAGGAGGAGGAGGGGAGGCAGAGGAGGGACCAGGGAGGTCTGGCAAAGGAGCAGAGTATTCACGGTTTAGAGGCCGAGGCCGCCGGTCAGAGTTGGCTCGCCGAGGAAGAGGTTTGGGGGGACGTTCAGGGTCGACGCCTGCGGCAAACATACCTGAAGACACGGTTAAGAAGATGAGTCAGTAGAAGGAGGGAGTGTGTTAACGTTAAGCACCTGAGGGAGTACAAAGATTTATTTTGATTTCTTGTTGAACAAGATGATGAATGTCAGCTTGTTATGAACACAATGTTTGGACTGGAGCAGGTTGGTTTTTTTTCACTGTGATCAGACTCTGCATTAGAAACAATCATGAAAACTTTTCCCTTCAGTCACGTCAGCAGGTTTAGTCAATGTGCTGCAAATACATACTTGCTTCTACAGCACCATCGATGCTGAGGGAGCTGAAGGCCGCTGAGGGGCCGCTCATATCCGACACGGTTCTTCTGGTTGGGGCCGGAGGGACGACCGGTCTGGGACAGTCATACTCGTAAATGTCCTCCTCACTCGTGTCCTCCTTCTCCTGTGGAACGGCTGCTGAGAGTGGAGGGTGGTCTGAAAAATAAACAGCACAGTGATGATGACCTTCATATTAGAGGCTCAAGACAGAGGTGATATTAGTAAATAAGTATTTGAAGACATTTCTTTGTGTTTTTACCCAGATCAGACGTCTGTGGCGTCTCAGACGATGCAGCCTGGGCCTGGATGTTACACATGGACTCGTAGACTTGAGGGTCATCAGAGTCGCTCTCAGCCGCCTCACTGCTCAGACACAGAGAGAAAACTTTATCATTTATGTTATTACAAATTATTCTTTATGTCTTGTCTTCACAGGAAAAGTCATTATGTAAACCTTCTCTTTTTATTTCAGTGGTTTTACTCTGGATTAGTTTTAGATCATTGCAAATATCCAAAATAAAGAAAAAAGTCTGTTAAGCAAAAGTTTATTTGAAAAGTTAAGAAGTGATTAATGTTAAAGGACACTGTATGATCAAGGCTATGTTTCATTGGCAAGAGTAAATAATTAGTATGTAGAATAAAACTGTTTAAATTGAGATGATAAATTAAGAAGACTCTGTCATCTACTCCTCAGATATTTTTCTAAGGGGGATGAAGAAGAACCTAAGGGAAGTGTTAAAGGGTTTAGGACGTGAACAACTCTGGACAAACAGCGCTCCCTGGTGGACATTCAAAGCACAGATCCAGATATTTGGTAGAACAGGAAATGGACAGCATGAATGTGCAGCTGACAAATCTGCAGGGATTATGTGACACAATCATATCAACATGGACACATAAGAATCTGTGTATACTGTGTGTTCTCCTGTTCACCTGGTGTCATTGTGTTGGTTTGCCTGTGTTGGTGGTGGAGGCACCAGGCAGCCTGTGATGACCCAGGGTGCACCAGAGACTGGAAGCGAGGTGGGACTCATGTATTCGTTCTCCTCGCAGTCAGAGGACGACTTCTCCCCACTCAACACGGCTGATCCCGGCAGAGACCTGATCATAGACAGATAACACAACGCAAACAATGTGGGATTCTCTCAGCTCGTAGTTTATGAATTAGATTCTGATCTAACGCAGGTTTGGCTGTGATCTGGGTCAGTAAGTTCCAAGAAAGGTCAGCAAGTGAAAAATCCTGTAGCGTGACAACTGAGGAAGCTGAGAACTGATCTTCCTTAGTTCCTGTCTCATTGTGTTACTGCCTTTCCACTACACCTCACATCAGCGGAGCTCCCTACCTTGCAGCCAGACAGTAGACGGGGTTAGTAGCTGAATGAGGTTTGCTTCCCTCTCCGCTGATTTCGTTGCTCTGAGGAGCGGAGGAAAGAGCCGACGGGGCCTTGGTTGCGGGACGTGGGACCATGTAGTTGGAAGCCCAGGCGGGCTGGTCAGGGGTTGAGGGCAGGGGTCTCCTCTGAAGTCTGGAGTCCTGGCCGACCAGGGAGGGGCGCTCTGGAGGGGGAGGAGGGGGCAACTCTCTCAGGGCTGGAGGCAGAGGTAGAGGCTTGTCTCTGTGAGTCGCTCCCATCTGCGGAGAAGACACAACATCAAATACAGTAAACACACACATTCTTCTCAGGAATTCTTGGAGAAGTTGGAGGTTTTGGTGAGTGGGTGGTTTCACACACTAACACACACTAAGACACACTAACCTTGGCTGTGGCTCCCTGGCCCAGTGCAATGTGGGAGGTGGAGGGTCTCTGCTGCAAGAGGTCCAGTCGGGGGGGCACTGGAGGAAGCTGAGACACTGGAGATGGTGGACGTTCAACCTGAGCACACACACACACACACATACATACATACAATTACAGATGTTGCACGGAACCAGCAATGAGATTTGAATTTCGCTTCCTGACATTTAAATATTGTGTATGTGGTCCTCTAACCTTGGTGCAGGCCAGCCTGCTCATGACAAGGTGCTGGTCCTCCAGGCGATCGTCTTCTTCCTCGTCATTCCCAGCAGCCTCTGCTCTGCTGGACCCCTGGAAACCAGCGAATGAAGCCCCGCTGGCCTTCGGGTGGAAGGGGTCCACTACGATGGGCTCTGTGCCTTTAATCTCACAGCGACAAAACGGGCAGCCTTGACCCTCTGACTCCTGATACATGACACAGGAAAAGACAAACAGTTTAGCAAAATAAGGTCTTTGCAGATATGACGCTGAAACATACAGGATGTGCACAATTGTCTGTCAGGATTGACAAAGTGAAGTAGACAGTCTCACCTGCCAGGCGGTCAGACAGGAGGTGCACATCAGGTGCCTGCAGGGCTCGATCTTCACGTCCTTGTCGTTCTCTGCACAGATCTTACAAAGCTGGAACGTGGAGCCCATCTCACAGTACAGCTCGTACTGCTCCTGCAGGGGCAGAGGAGGAGACACAACTTGTTTGTATGGAAGACTGTAGTTTTTAACACTTATTGTAGTGTGACATGGTGGCACTTAATTTAAGTGAACTTAATTTGAACTAAAAACTGATTTCCATAGGCACCTGAAAGTGTTGTGTGCGTGCAGGGGTTTGCGGATGAGAAACAAACATGGTCAAACCTGAGTAACTTTGATGTGGTCCTGTGGAGACGGTTCACACAGCCCGGTGAGGTCTGGGTTCTGTGCACGGCCATCAGGGAACAGATAACTAAAGAAACGCAGCATAGACACACACACAAACAGTTCAATATTACATACAATGTCTTAAATCAGTCAGAAAACAAAACAATTCAAAATATTCAGTAGGTATCCATGCAACGCTTGATCATCTTTTTCACTCTGAAGAGGATTTGAAACTAGAGATTGAGATCACTAACTGTCAAGTGAGACAGAGACATGAGCTTCTATACAAATGGATTTATTTTTATAACCAGCGGAGTCGCCCTCATTTAAGGGATTAAAGGTTTCTGAATACAGGCGCTTCCACATTGGCTTCACGTTCTGGACCTTTCCTGGACATCTACTGTATGTGTTAAGCTATTTGTTGGTTTATTGATGAAGAATAATTGTTTGGATCAGGAGCAAAGAAGTGTGTTATCCTGCAGCAATATTTTCTTAACATATTTAACCAGAATAAACTAACTTAATGCCCCTAACCCCACAATTAACAATTGACAATGATAATCCTTCTCTATTCTAAATAAAAATAACTTTCCGGAGTCAATCTGGTGATCTCTTATCTTGTCTGACCTGTCCCTAGAGGCAAGTTTGAACTATAACATCCTATACACCCAAAATATAAACATTTTAGTAGTGGGACTCACAATCCTTCTCTGTATCCATCAATGAGGGCTTGGAAAAGGGGTTTGTTATGGGGGATGGTCTGCAGGATGTTCCCATCCGCTGTCACGTAGCCGATTGCCCACTGGCCCAGCCGGGTGCAGCTCAGCCTGAAGATGTAACTGAAGGAAAGACGACGAGGTAAAACAACGGCACGCGGTGTTCACATGCAATAACATGTTTTACTGACTGTTCTCAATCCAAAACCTTAAAATCTGATAATCACAGAAGATTATGCAGAGACATTTTTTTTATGATTTCAAAAAAAGTATTTTGGCTCGTCTGCATCTCACCTGCCAGGTTTGTGGATGAACCTGTGCAGTCGGGCCTTGACCTCGTCATATGTCAGGAAGGCCATGTACCCAGGGTGTGTGACGGCCAGACTGTTCCAGTTCCTTAAAAGGGACGACCATGGCTACAACACATACACACAAAACTTATTATTTCATCAAGTCTCCAGGTTTTATTTAACTCAACAATCGCTGAGACATAAAAATAACCTTTTTCCACTGATCAACAAGTAGAAGTTTAGAAACTTAGAAATGCAGAAATGTGACTTTCGGTATTGGTCGAGGTGGCGGTGTCTCCCTCTCAGTTGGTTGGACATTACATTTATTTTATGAAAGCTACAAACACATTCATAGTAAATACATTGCTTTACAACTTGTTTTGAGATTTGCTAAAGTTAACTAAAAACATCACAACCCAACCTGCACTGACTGTCTTGGAAATGTTTTATCTCTCGAACACTGCCTCATTTATATTTTGACTCATTTACAGGTGAATATCTTTTTACCATTAACTCTTAATTCCCACCAGGGTTTTATGAGGAATTCATAAAATGTAGAGTTGGTTCATAGTTTACCTGGAAGAGCCTGGTGAAGATGTCGAACTCAAAGACGGAGATGTAGTCGTTGCAGGTGAGGTCGATGGTGGACTTCAGGGCCATGGCCTCCAGGCCCGAGCTGATCGGGTGAAACTCATGAAGAGCCTGACGAAACGTCCTCCAGGGCACGATGGTCCTTTATGGGTGGGATGGGAACAGAAAGCAACAGGTTGGCTAACTGGTCGACAAGGCTGGAAATCCGTACATCAAGAAAAACTAAGATTCCAAGTATTAATTCAAGTCAAGTAACAGATTTGCAAAATGAATGCATTTAAAAACTTCATATTTACAGAAATACAGAAAGAATATTACAAGCACAAACCTGTTAATTTTATCAAAATACCAATCTAAAGTAAAATACATCCAGATTTATTTTTAGACTTATAAATATTTGAAAAAGCAGAAACTCACTTATCCCCAAATGACCTTCTCCAAAATTCAGCCGCGTCAGCTTTGGTGATCCTGAAGTTGTCGCCCTGAAACAGGCCGTTGGGGAAGATGGCTTTCAGCTCCGCGAGCATGTGACTGAAGATCAGAGACAGCTTGGTGAGGTTTCGCCTGAGTGAGAGGAGCGCAAGAGAGAAAACACAAATTAATACAGGACACAAACAGTCAGCCACTTACAAATATTTTACACTCACTTTGTCTATTTATTCTAATATGTGGGTGAAATGTTCGAATTCACACAGTTTTAAGACTATTTTCACTTTTCTTTTACCTCCTGTGTCTTTTATGATTCCACATTTGACAATACACACCTGAAAAAAAACATTTCTTGATCCATATAAAAGCTGTAAAAAAACCTTTTTAACTTCAGGTGTGAACAGATAAACTCAAAAACTACTGTTGTTGCATTGTTTAGCATGTTTAGATTGAACTATTAAAGTTGCATTCTTTCTCGTGTGTGTTATGTATACTCATATGCATGTTGCGACTCTTTTAAAAGGTCCAGTGTGTAAGATTTAGGTGAAAGGGAACTATTGGCAGAAATTTAATGCAGAATAATCCTCATGATGTTTTCACTATTTCGTTTCATTTAAATTGTATGAATTGTAGTTTTCTTTACCCCAGAAAAGGCCTTTTATATTTAAATACATCGAGGGGGTCCTCTCTACGGAGGCCGCCACGTTTTTTTACTTTAGTCCAGACTGGACAAATTGAACAACTTTTGAGTTTCTAAATTACCACAGGCTCTTTTTCATGTTCGGATGAGGAGGGTGAGGTGAGGGGTGTTCAGCTGCAACATGCAACTTCAACACTAGATATCACAAAATTCTACACACTATACCTTTAAAAGAATCGTGTATTTTTTAGTTAGCTTGGACTGGTTGTTGATTCACAGAATCTATGAGGAAACGCTTGATAAAAATCTAAGTGTATCAGAGGAAGGATGAACTTTCACAGTCATGACTTTTCTGAGAAGTAGAGGAAGCTGGTAAGATTGCGACAGTTTAAACACGGCTTTAACACAGCTTTACCACACAGTTGAGTGATTTTCACCCACCCCACTGGTCCAGTTTTGAATATGTCACAAGTTGCATTTCATCACAGTGATGGAAAGTGGAAAAAAACTTGTCAGAAACTTCAGATAGCCTTGTAGTGTTTTCCAAAGACATCACGAAACTGTGACCGATTCTGTGTCCTTTCGTTTCCTTCTTTAAATAAACTGGGTAAAGCCCAAACTAGTACAATAATTGTGTCAATGGGTCACTGGTAACAGAGGAGCTGTTAAAAAACTAGGCCAGAGCAACGTAAATGAGTTACTCTGACGTGTGTCTAAATTATGTTTCTCGTAGTCTCATGCAAATAAAACAGTAACACAGGCAACACAGGCACTGACTTCTTTTAGTTTTGAAAAGGTTTGTTTTATCATTGTAAATACAACAGACTGGATCTATTCAAAGGTTTTCACTCATTTAAAGAAAAACCAATACTATGTGCAACACTGATCTGTAAAGACGTGTAATCCATGGTGGATTATTGTACAAATCTTTCCCCTTAAAACACAGAGGTAGCTTCATTCAGCTACAGCTCTGCCCATTCAAGAGGTTTTAAACAATAATTTTCAGAATCAGTTTAATGGATATGGCACCAACTCGAAGAATGATTAGCTCAATCTGTCAGTTATTCAAATACTTTTCATACTGCACAGCTCCTTCCTTCTCCTAAATCCTCACGAATGTCCCCTCCAAGAATAAATTATATTTCATCAAGACATGAGTCTACAGTCATTTTCAGACATGAACTCCAGAAAATGAGTTTTCCTCTCACAACAAAGACGAGGGGGTGAAGGACAGCGGAAAACTGCATTTTTGTTTATAGTACATCAACGTTGAACCTTATCTACGAAAGCTCTTGAATTTTGTCGTCTTTTCAAGTTGACGTCTTCGTGTTTAGGTCCAATTCATGTTGGAAACATTATCAACATGCAGCTTACCTGGGCTGAGAATTCTCCTCGTACATCCTCTCCTTTGCTTCTTTAAAGAGACTCATCGTCTGCTTAGTCTTGTTGGTCAAGTTCTCCATGACCACGCGGAAATACTCATTTTCCCCAAGGATCTCTATCTTGCCCTCGTATCGAGACAGAATGGTGCGGAGGTGCTGGTACGTGTCCGGGAGCAGGTCCAGGATGTAGGGTGGGCTGTTCTTCAGCGCCACCTTGGGGTTCTGGCACAAACGTACCACCTGGAGAGGAAACGCAATGAGACTTAATGCTTAATGAAAAGTTATGACATCAGTAAAATATAATGTTTATCCTCATGGGACAATACATGTGTGTAGGACTTCAACGTTTCTGTTATGACAGTAACTCCTGAACTATTACAGCTCTGAAAGCATGTACAGCTCTGAAAAGCATCTCCTATGTCTGTGAAAAACAACTCAATTAAAGAAATAAAGCTGGATTCATGGCAATTACGTGATTTCCAGTCTAATACAATATTTATCAAGTTAATGAGAACTTTACGCGCCACGTAGGAGGATTTCCTTCTCTCCTCTGCACATAAGTCCTGTAAAAGTCTTGATCTTGATCGACAGACATCATGATCATTTTGAATTTCCATGTTATTTATTTATAAAAATAATATCATCACACTCACTATATTAACGAGAAGAGATCTAGGAATAGGAACAGGGTCTGTTGGATATTTTGCCACAGATATTTTTGGTAATAATTTTAGTATTTGTCAGTGTTGTCTCCTGAAGGTGAACAGATCTGACTGCTCATGATCTGACTCTGTTACAGCAACACTGCCGCATTCCTCAAACTCAGCAATCAACTCTGTGAATAGAATGTTTTTACTTGTAAAAACAATAACGGTCTGACCCAAGTTGTAATACGCAGGACTAGAGGGACAAAAGCATCAGTGCTGTAACATACATGTGTATGTACTGTTCTTTAACATACATTTGAACATGCTATAACTTAAAACATTTTTGATTCCGTCAACCTTGACTCAAAGTTCTCTAAACATGATGTTGACCAATATCTTTGACACCTGTCGTTGTTTAGTTCGGTTGAACGCAGACTGTGAATTCTAAGTTTAGCTGTTTATTTAACTATGAGCTTTGGAGGCATTTTACTTTCTGCTCAGGAAGAAAAAACAGGAACAATGTTTGCGGGCTTTTTTTTTTTTTTTTTAAAGCAGATGTTAATTAAATAACTAGTGAGAGTGACACACTGTGCACTTTTAATGTTTGCTTTGCTCTAGAACATGGCACCTAATAACAAACTTATAGCGTACTTTGGCAGTGGAGGGGAGAGAGCTGGACTATAAAGGTGAAATAAAAAGGGAATCCCCACAATGTTCAACAGAACCATGTGTTCAACTTTTGTGTCTCACATCAGACAGAACTCACAAATATTCCCTTATTACATATTCAGTCACTTCTCGATCGGAAGAGGAATCATGTAACGCAGAGATATAAAAAGTTTTAAGAAGGTCAAACAGCGAAAGGGATCAGTCAGAGGCATGTGACATCGATGACACATTAATACTGTGGGTGTCAATGAGGCAGCACAGCCACGTTTTTGCACAGTGCAGGCAGGCGATGTTATATCATAACATGTCTCTGTGATGGTGTTGCTTTTTAATCCAGCTCTCCTGAATTAATCTCCTCCTCCCTCTCTCTCTCTCTCTCTACTTTCTTTTCATCTACAGTTAGTGTGACAGCCAGCAAGGTATACACTGTACAAAATCCCCCACACGACACATGCGTTCTTAATCTAACACCAAATATAGTGGGTTTTCCACTAAGTCTATTGCACAGTGATAAACAGATTAGTGCCACTGTGACCTAATTCATTATAAATTAGCCTAATTAGATAATGAATCCTGGACTCCAGTGCTTCCTCTGTACTTTCAGTTTGTTTGGGATTCAGTTTTCCCAAAGAGTGGGAACTCAATAAGCCAAATTAAATATCAAAATATCTTTCTGTAGGGATGCCACCTTAGATCTATCGATATGGGTTTTAACAGTGGTGTTTCTTTTATCATATGATCGGATTCACAGTGGGTGAAGGGGAAATAATGAGTTTAAATGTCAAATATCTTTCAGTATAGATGTGTGGGAGTAAATCTAACACAATGAGCTCTAATAGTATTGTTTCTTATTCTATATATAAAGTCAGATCCACACTGGGTGAAGCAGGAATGTGTGTTTAAATGCCAATTATCTTTCTATATAGATGCGTAAGAGTAAATCTAATGCAATAGGCTTCAATAGTAAAGTTTCTCATTTTATGCAAAGTCAGATCTACATTAGGGGAAGACGAAAGAAGAGAATTTAAATGCTAAATATCTTTCTGTATGGATGAGTGAGAGTAAATCTAATGCAATGAGGATCACTAGTAGTGTTTCCTTCTTTTAAAGTAAGTCATATCCACAGCAGCTGAAGGGGAAATGTGTGTTTAAATGCTAAAAATCTTTCTGCATGGATGAGTGAGAGTAAATTTGAGGCAATGAGCATCATCAGTAATGTTACATTAAGTCATATCCACAGTAAGTGAAGGGGTAACGTGTGTTTAACTCATCTTAAAGTTCAGGTTATATCCAAACAAATGTGCCCATAATAATGATGCTGGAAAAAGAGGGACGTGGCAGTGGCTGCTCACAGCTCCAGCTCCAGGATTTACGTTTAAAACGCTTATTTCTACTCGTGTTTACATGATCGATACCTTATCCATTAGCTTCCAGCATTTCTCCACCATTTTCTTGTCGACCACGGCAGGTTGGTGCGGCTGCAGAGGCTGCTGGTGGGGCTGAAAGGCGTCCTTCATCAAGCCGATGAGTCCGGCGCCCCTCCTCGGATTTCCGGCCATTAAACTCGGTCGGCGACCGGGGGGTCAGCCCCGGGGCTGGAGGTTGACAACCGGGAGTTATCCTCGACTCGCGCTTCAAGAAAACAGCCGCGGTTTCTGCGCCTTCTCCGAGCTTAACATCGGCCACAGCTCGTCATGCAGAGTCGGTCCAGTCCGGAACAAAACGCTGTGTGTACACTGTACTAGCTGCTAGCTAACATGCTACATCAGAGCAGCGTCTCTCACGGAGGCTCCGTGCTTCGACAGCGGCTCAGGACATGTCCGTCATGTTTGCGTCCCACGGTTCGCGAACTGTTTTTACCCCGGGGACGGCGAGCTCAAACCCTCCCCTGACAAACCGGTCCCGGCTTGTGATAAACTCCGGGGGGGGGGGGGGGGGGTTAACAAGCCGCACGGAGCGACTCAAAGTCGGGGAGAGAAGCAGCTTCAGCACCGAGAGCAGCGGCTCCGGTCCGGGGGAACACGGATGTCCGGCACAGACCTTCACAATAAAGGCGCAGACAGCGAGCGAGTTTGACTTGGGTGAAATATGATGATAGAATAAATGTTGACCAGGTCTGTGAGCAAATGTTTATCTTCTACTTAAGTAACTTTAGCATCGCTATAATACTATAGTGCATAGTAACAGGATCCGTATGATCAAGTACACCCGTGGGGAATGGCCTTTTGTGAGCACTGCATTATTATATTGTTAATGAAACATAAATGTTGATCAGGTCTGTGTGAGTGCAAATATTTTTTATATTTTACCACAAAGTGGCACTAAGTACTAAAAGTGTTTGAGCGAATAATAATAATAACATCATCACTATGATATAATCAAAAATAAAAGTTTTCTCATGGAGAATAGTCTCTGTTGTGTTGTTACTTTGTTATAATGCATTATTAATTGTGTATTCATGAACAAATAGCAATAGTAAGTCAATAAATGTTAAATTAACAAAAAAAGTGTTAAAATAAATGTTGATCAGGTCTATGCAGGAGTGCTTACCTTTTTTATTGTTAACATGATAATAGCATGATCAGTATGATACTATCGAAATGAAAAAAATACACTCATAGAGAAATGGTCTCTTTTGAGTGTCATAGCTGTATTATACTGAATAATTAATGGTGCATCCATGTGTACAAGACTTAAATGTAGTTACCAAGGTGTACTGAGAATTAAATAATAAGTAGCCATCCAATAAATGTATTATGAAATCAAATGCATGAAAAAATATTTATTTGTGTTATTAAAAGTATTAACATTTGTGAAAAAGAGCAAGAAGATGAAAAAATTGAATCAATAAATTCATAAAAATAATTTTATTTATAATATATTGAATCACTTGTTTCCCCTTTTTATCATATTTGCTGTTTACAGAGGATTTGGAGAATTTTTCTGATGAAACAATTCATTAAAGGATTTGAAAATCTGTAGTATTTAGTAGTGGCACAAGGATTGACACCTTAGGAGTCATGAGTGTGATGTTACTGAGATTATAACATTTACACAGGTGCTTCCATGAGACGCAAAGGCTCACTTAATTGTTTGAGTATGAAATGACACAAATCATATTCATTGGCCTTTCACACTCATCACATCTCAAACTGATAGACAGTGTTCTCCACTGACACTGTTCTGGAAGGTCATTGTGGAACCAACACCTGACAGAGAAAATTCACATTTCCTTTTTTTATTTCTCTTTTCTAACCAACTGCATTTTGACATAATACATTTTAACATCTGACTTGTTCATTGTGCAGATTTTAACCAATCAGGGCCTCAAATCTCTGGAGTATTAATGACTCATAGGTCAAACCAAACCTGTAGTGCCTTTGACAGGTTTTGCACAAACATATTTAATGTTGAAATAATAAATGGGACAAACTTAGTCAAACATATGCAGGAGAAAAGGGAACAGATCCATAACAGCCTTTTAAGTCCAAAGGCAGGACTCTATGCACTAATGATGTGTGGTCTTCCTCTTCTCATTCAATGATTTTGAGCCACAGCAGCAGCTGTATCCTTTGCAATCTTCATATTCATATTACAAAATCCAGTGTGCACTGGTCAACTGGTCAATTTCATAGACAGGAACAAGTGATGACAGAGTTGTGTACCCTCTGTTAACTGTTGCATTTGGAGAGGAGTCACAGGTTCAAGCTTCCAGCCTTCAGCCCTGTGAAGGACACATCTTCATTCTGTTTAAGGAGGCACCTTTAAAAAAGGCAGTCCAGACTGCCATCTCTGGTTGTTCAGCTTTCCTTTGCCATCACCACATCAGCTCATATTGGAGTTCCTTGAAAACTCAAAGCCATGTTCAACAGCAGAGCTCCCAGCTCTGCCTGCTGCCCTCCAGGTAAGAACTCTGTGGACAGCTCTCTGTAAGTGCTGCAAACTCTACGCTCATGAACATCCTCCCTGTGAATGGCGTGTTTCCACCGGTGCCGTGCCTCATCGTACAACACTACCAAAGATCTGCGAGGGAGATGCACAGCTACCTGGACTTCCCCCCTGAATCCCAGCTCAGGCAGACCCTGTTCCAGCGACATGGTGAGAGTCGTGTTTGATAACATGTTGATGGTGACCAGGCGCTCCCCCCACAGCCAGGAGTCGTCTAGGTGTGGGTCGATGGCTGAGCCTCGCTGAGGATGGTAATCCAGATTGCACTGCTCCACTGGTTGGAAGCCTGAGAGATTTGGCTCCTGCTGCATCCTGAGCACTAGTTTTTGGCTTAAAGCAGGGAGTCCAGTGAAGCCGCCCACACGTACTTTCCTTTTCTTGAAGTTAACTTTTGGGCCAAAATCCTGCAACGATAGAAGAGGACAATTTTTTTTCATTTCATCAGATAATAATAATAAGTAATTTAATGGGAAATTCATGTTTTGTAGACACTTACATTATTCTACTCTTGGTTGATTAAAATGTGTTTGTGTTGGTGTAACTGTATCTGAGACTGGACAAGTTAAACCTTGTGGCAAACTACCAAATTGCTAGAGCAAGCACATGTTGATTTGCATTGGACATAACCTGTTTCCTTCGCCCAGACTGGGACTGATTCCACACATCCTGGTCCATCGAGCTTATCAGCGCCTTCTCCTCCGCTTCTGATATGAAGTTCTCCCACAGGAAGACACCAGGAAAGGGGAAGGACACAGCCTCGGCATCATTGCAAACAGCCAGTCTCGTATCAGGATCGTAGAGGAAATGATGCACAACCTTCACATTAGATGACAAACACAATTATGTTAACTTTACTACAAATTATTAAGACATATTGTTGTTTAGTTTATAATGATAAAGCACAATGTTACAATATTGAATTAATGTCTTTCTCAGGAAAGTGGTAGGTTCCTGACTTTAGTAACTTCCTGTCCAGGAATAACACTGTCAATCAAGCAATGAAGCAGCACAACTGTAATGACATGAACAAAAAAGATCCTTCCCAGCAGAAGATGGTGTAAGTACAATTATTAAACTTGAATAAAGTACATAAAACATTTGGGTGCTTGTACTTTACTTTTCATGACACTTTTTACATTTTACAGCTACTTTAATTAAATGCATTTAATGCTCAAATAATTTAACAAAGAAAACACATGGAGAGCTCTGAAATATGCTTTATTTTAGATTTAACTACTTAACAGTATGTACTGGTAGATTTAAAACCATTAACTGATCCATCAATTTGTCCAGTGGCAGAAAATAGATTTGTGATAATCATCTAAGGAATATTTCATGCACAATTGTATAATATTTAACTGTTCCTCCATGTCAAAGTGGATGATTTGCTTTGATTATTATTACAATTAATCGCAGTAGAAAAAATGGGTTGACAAGATCTCAAACTCAATTTGCTTCA